GGATGGGGGGCAGTACGTGGCGTTGTCGGCAGGTGGGCCATTGTCTTACTTGGGTGAGAGAGGCCCGCACGGGGGGGTGGGGCGGTGGTGGCGGCGGAGTGGTGGACAGCGGACCGATGGCTGCGGCAGGGAGCGGATCAGGGATGGAGGCGCGGGACGGACTGGTGCAGCGGAGTGTGGCGAGTGGTGGCGATGACGGTGGTGAGGGCGGCGGCGAGGGAACAGTCGGGTTCTGCCGGACCAACGCTGGGCGAGCTCGTCATGGCGCGTGCCCGTGCCGGCCGCGGGAGGATCAGCAGGGCGCGCTGGCCGGCGGCGAGTGCGGGCACGCGGTGGCGCTGGCGCTGCACTGCGCGCGATGCGCCGATGTCGAGAGCTGCGAGCATGTGCGTAGCAGCAAGGACGGTGGCGGCGTGGTGCGGTGCAGCGAGTGCGGTTTGGCGCTGACCAAAGAGCAGATCAAGGCCGGGAAGAAGCTGGCCAAGATTCGGGCCAAGGCTGAGAAGGCGGCGGCCAAGGCGCGGGCCAAGGCCGACAAGCTCAAGGGTGCGGTGCGAAGCGCCAAGAAGAAGCGGCTTAACAAGACCGACTGAGGTGGCTGTGGTAGTCTCTCAGATGTGGTGGGTGTACGCGGTGGTGGCGGCGACGATCTCGTAGCCGAGCGCTAGGGCGCCGGCGAGGCAGACGCCGGGCTCGGCGCTGAGGACAACGGCGGCGTTGAGGGCTAGAAGGAACGGGAGGACCAGGCCGAGGGGATAGGGCCCTGGGGCGACGGCGCGCAGCAGAGCGCGGGCGTGGAATGGGGCGGCGGCGGCGAGGCGAACAAGGTCTAGTACTGAGAGGCCGCCGCTGGCCACCAGCGGGTCGAGGGCGGCAGCGAGAGCAAGAGCGGCGACAACCGGGGCGTAGCGGCCGGGGCCGGCCAGCCAGGTAAAGCCAGGTGACGGGATGAGGAGGAGAAGGAGCGGCGCAAGCGCGATGCCAGTCGCCCACAGTGGCGACTCGAGGTAGGCGCCCGAGACGACAGAGGCAAGGACGACGGCGGTGGCGACGGCAGCGTTGGTGGCTAGCTCGTACGCCTGGTGCAGCGCGAGCGGAGTGCCCGATGCGAGGGCAACGCGGGCCATGACCTGGGCGGCCGTCCGTAGCAGCGCGGCGAGCACAAGGTGGGTGCCGGCAAAGAGGCCCAGAAGCGAAGCGCCGGCGTGGCGGCGCGGCCGCGCCTGGAGAAAGAGCGGGAGGCGGTGGAGGTGGGCGACGAGCGCGAGCCAGGTGAGGGCCTGAACAACAGCCAAGCCGGCGTAGAGGCAGAGGATCCACACGTGGGCACCGGGAACAGGGATGCGGACAAAGCCCGCAAGAGTGAGCGCCAGAGCGCCACCGATGCCGAGCAGTAGGAGCACTTCGGGAATGGGTGGGAGGAAGAGACCGCCGAGGCCGAGGCCGGCGCAGACGCCAAAGAGCGCGAGCCAGGCGTGGAGGCGCGGCAGCGGGAGGAGGACGACCGAGCCAAGGCCGGTGAGCGCGGCCCATACGAGCCACAGTGGCCACTCGAGCTCGGGATCCGGATGCAGGAGCGCCGATGCCGGAGCCTGGGTCCCGAGCGAGGTCGCGAGCTGCATTAGCGGGCGATGCGCAGAGGTGACGCCGGGCATGGGCGGCTGCAAGACGAGGATGGCGACGAGGCCGACGACGGCGCAGGCATGGGCGCGGCGGAGGAACGAGAGCTCCGGCTTTGGCCAGGTGGCAATGAGCCAGGCGAGAGCGGCAGCGGCAAGCGGCGAGAGACCCAAGCGCGAGAGCGGTGCGTCAAGCGCCGCTGACGTCGCCCATGCAGCAACGGCAAGGACGGCGTCGACAGCGGCCGAAGCCAGCGAGCCGCGCGAGCGGCGGCCACGGACTAGAGCGAGTGAGACAAAGACGACAACGCCGGGGAGCGCCGAGTAGTCGATGAGCACGATGAGCTTGGCCACAAAGATGGCACGCCAGAGAGCGTCGACCGAGGCGGCGCGGAGGGAGGCGCTCATCCACTCGGTAGCGGCGAGGGCGTAACCGACAGCCGAGGTGGCGGCGACCAGATAGGGAGGATAGAAGAGTCCGATAGTGGCCGGAACGCCGGCCTCACCTGCATAGAGCACGGTCTCGGCGGCAATAAAGACAAAGGCGAGGGCGAGGAGCCGCTCGCCGGTCCACCCGTTGGCGGTGCCGGCCATGGCGAGAGCAGCGTAGAGGGCAAGGCAGATCAAGACCGGTCCGAGGCCGGTGCTTGTGGCCGCAAGCGTGAGTGCAACTGGACCGAGGAGAAAGCCGAGGAGGAGGTATGCACCGACGCCTGCAGAGAAAACAAAGCAGGCGCGCGAGAGCGGGCGGCCGGAGGCGTAGGCGTCGACGCCGGCGATCGAGGTGCCGAGGAGGGCGGCGGCGGCAAGGAGCGAGCCGAGAAGGAGACCAAGAGTGGCAGCAGCTACGGCGCCGCAGATGTGCATGGTGAGCGCCAGGGCGTTGGCGGCGCGGAGCGGGAGCGGGAGCGGGCCAAAGGCACCCAGCGCAGCAGCGGCTGGGAGGACAGCGGTGGCGACAGCAGCCTCGGCGGCGACGCCGGCGGCGATGGAGGCCCACGGCTGCGGGAGGGCCAGGTAGTGCATGTACGAGCGGAGAACAATGGCATCAACAGCGACAGCGACGAGGGCACCCAGCGCAATGGCGCACACCAGCAGCCGCAGCTGCGACCAGCCGGCGGTGAGCGAGGTGTGCATGGCGCGGACGAGGAGCCATGATGCGACAGGGGCGGCAGCAAGGAGCAGCGCGTTTGTCGCGCCGCGCCAGGAGAGCAGAGCGTGTGGGCCAGCAAGAGCGATGTAGGCAACGAGTGGGAGAGCGAGGCCGTGGCCGCGAAGGAGCCAGCGGGCAGGCGGCGGGAGGCGGACGCCCTCGACATCCATGCCGATGAGCGGTACGAGGCAGAGTGGGACGAGGAGAAAGCAGGCAAGGGCACCATCCGGAACAAGTGAGAATAGAGCCCATGCCGAGAGGGCGGCGCCCGAGAGCGGGGCGAACATCCAGGCCAGCAGGCGAGCGGTGGCGGCGTCGGTCGGGGCAGTGAGCGGGTTGGCAGCCAGAGCGGCGGCGGCAAAGGCAGCGACCTGAGCGGGCATAGCAAGGACGAGGAGCGAGTAGAGGATGGAGAGCGACATGAGATGGGCAGCAGAGGTGATGAGCAGGACGGTGCCAGCCAGGGCCGAGGCTGCGATGAGGGCGTAGACCAGTGGGCGGGCGGCCGATGCCGGGAGGGCCGACGACGGCGACGAGGCGAGGCCGACGAGAGCGCAGGCGCATAGGACGAGGGCTGCCAGGCTGCGCCCGCCATATAGGGCACACACTGCGCCCGGGACGGCCATGGTAGCCCATAGCCACAGCATGAGGTGGGCGGGGTGGGAGGGGGGGGGAGGGGGAGGGGGGAGGGGGAGGGGGAGGAGGGCACCTCACTCGGTGGCAGTGGGTGGGCGGAGCGGAGTGGCAGAGGCTCGGGTGGTTGTGGCTGGGGATGGGAACGGGGATGGGGACGGGGCTGGGTGTGGGCGAGGGAACAAAACTGGTGGGCAGGAGCGGGGTGGGGATAGGCCGGGCGCATCGCGGTCGGGCTCGGGCTCGGGCTCAGGGTACGGCTCGAGCGAGTACGGGTACGGTTCGGGTGAGTACAGCTCCGGCTCGCAGCGCAAGGAGCGGGAGCGGGAGCGGGAGCGGGAGCGGCGGCACCGCAGACATGGGTCGAGCCGGAGACATGGATCGAGCCGGAGGAGGCACGGGTCGAGCCGGCGGCATGGGTCGAGCCGGCGGCATGGGTCGAGCCGAAGGCATAGGTCGAGCCGGAGGCATGGGTCGAGTCGATCTCGTCATGGGGGCGAACGCCATCGTCGTCGAGACAGCCATCGATCGAGTCGCAGGAGCAGGAGCAGGAGCAGAGAACGCTCGCTGGAAAGTCGTCGAGCACCATCACCTGGCCATCGTCACAAGAGTCACCAAAGCCTGAGAACAAGCCGCAGGAGAAGGAAGGAACGCCACGATTCGACGCTGGAGATGCTGGTGGGGCCAAAGGCCGACGCGGGACGCGAGCGCAGGGTAGCCGATAGCAAGGCCCGGGCGTCGCAGGCTCGGGCGGCGGCCAACGATGATGGTCTCGTTGCCGTCGATGTTTTTGCGGGGCGGAGCCACGAGTCTATCCACGGCCAGATCCGGGCTGCCAAGGCCAGGCGCGAGGCGAGGCTCGCTCGCAAGCGAGAGCGGCTCGGCAAGCTGGCTGCCAAGGCAGAAGCTAAGGAGGCCGCGCAGATGGCAGCGCTCAAGCGCTCGCTCGGCCTCGAATGATGGAATGAATAAGAGGGTAGGGTGTATAGGCAGGCTCGTGTGTGTTACTCCTTACTTCTTGCGGCGGCGGCGCTTGCGGGCAGAGGGCGCGCCGGCCGGCGGCTCGGGCTCGGCAGTTGGGGGCGCGGCAGACACCTCGGAGGCGGCGGCGGCAGAGGCGGCGGAAGGCTCGGCGTCAGCGTCGGCGTCGAGGGCTGCCTTGACGGCTTCGTACTCGTCCTGGGTCTCAGGCGCAACCGGGATGGAGGAGGCGACGGCAAGGCGGAGGTGCTCCTCGTAGAACGGCAGAGCCGAGCGCGGGTCCTCGAGGCGCGAGAGCGACTGAGCGAGGAGCAGGTTTGCGCGGAGCTCTCCCTTGACGTCCTGGACGCCTCGGGCATGCTCGAGGGCAGTGTCGCCGGCCTTGATGGCGTCCTTGAACTTGCCCATCTCAAAGTAGCATCGGCCAATGTCCACGTAGGCACGGCCCTCGTCCTCGGGGTCGGAGGCGACCTCGGCCTGGCGCTCGAAAAAGTGGATGGCCTTGGGGTAGTCGCCCATGACGCGGTAGGTCCGGCCGAGGTTGCCGAGCGCACGCAGGGTGGCGTCGGCGTAGCCGTACGCGCCCGAAATATCGAGGTCCTTGCGGTGGTGGATGGCAGCCATGGTGAGCTTGCCGAGGGCAAGGTATGTGTTGCCCATCGAGCAGTAGAGGTTGCCCAGGATGCGCGGCTTGTCAGCGAGCTCCATGGAGCCGACACGGGCAAGGAAGTTCTTTGCGAGCTGGAGGCCGAGCTCGGGCGAGTCGTACTCGAGGGCGTTGTTGACGTTCTCCAGCGTTTGGATGGCGTAGCGGGTTGCCTCAAAGTAGGCATCCTTGTCCGAGGCGCCGACCCGCGGCGCCGCCGGAGCCACGGCGTCGCGCGGGCGGGTGCGGAGACGGGCGCGGCCAGAGCGGCCGCGGGCCGAGGCGGTGGGCGCGGGCGCGGGCGTGACGAAGAAGGGCCGGACGGCGGCCGCGGGCGGCGAGCAGACTTGGGCCCGCGAGCGTCCTCCTGGCGCTGGCGAAGCTCGTGCTGGCGCTTGTAGATTGGCTTCTGCTGACGCCAAAACTCCTTACGGGCCTCAAGATAGTTGATGCCGTCGACGATGGCCGACGACATGGCCTTGTTCTTGGTGAGAATGGGTCGGAACGAGTCGTCGAGCAAGAGCTGGGCAAGGTACTCCTTGTCCGCTGACAGCGTGCCGAGCAGCTGGCGGTCTTCCTTGCGGACGTGTGGGTCGTTAAGTTTGGCGCTCTCCGTGTCGACGAGGTCGTTGATGGCACGCGGCTGGCGGGTCGACTCGGAGGCGAGCGCCGAGCGCGCCGACGACGTTGCCCGGCGCTGCGAGAGCTCCGGGTGAAGCCGGGCCGAGAGAGTGTTGAGATCGAGCTGCGGGACAGCCGACGACGGAGTGGACGGTGCCGGATGTCCGAGCGCCCAGCCGCCAGGTGAGTCGCCGACGGCCGAGCCGGCCGTGGATGGGCGCGAGTCGCCGAGCGAGGCAAACGAAGGGCGGGTGTTGGCCTTGGGCGGGGGCGCAATGACGGCATCGTCTGAAAGCAGCTTGAGGCCCTCGTTAAAGAGCTTGGGATCGGCGGCAGGGTTGCGCGACCGCTTCGAGACCGCGGCGGTCGCGGCCTTGCGGGCCTTCATCTCGCGGACAAAGTGCTCTTCGCCGGCCATAGTCAAGCGGTGCGACTCGGGATCGCCGATGGCGTTGAGAATGGCCTGCCGGCACTTTTGAATGCCGAGGCGGAAGGCCTGGACGTCGGGGCGCTCATTGTGGCCGCGGTGAAAGTAGACGGCAGCCAGCTCAAAGTTGGTGGCGGCGTAGAGCGCCTCAGCCTTGGCGAGCAGGCCCTTGTACGAGTCGCGAACAATGGGCGGGCGAACGTCCTCGACCTCCTCTTGCACGGTGACGTCGACGACAACGCCTGGCTCGACGTACATGGCGGCGGCGCCGCCGCCGGCCTTCTTCTTCTTGGGCGGGCCGGATCCGCCGGGCTGCATGTAGTTGGACGGGATGCCGTCGTCGTCGTCGTCAGGATTGTCGCTTTCTCCCAGAGAATGAGCGCCCGCTCCGCGTCGAGCAGCGCCTGCTCCGGGTAGCCGAGCATGATCCAGCACTTTGAGCGCGAGACGAGGACCTCGCGGGCCATGGGCGACTTTTGCCACTTGCCGAGGTGGCCGTACAGCTCGAGCGCGCGGGCGTACGACTCGATGGCCTTGCGGGCCTCGTTGCGTGCCAGCAGCACGTCGCCCTCGGTGGCGTAGGTGACAAAGGTCGATGCCGCCATCTTGGCCGACAGCGGCGCCGCACGCTCGCCCGGCACGCCGTCCTTGACCTCACGGGCCGCTGACGCCAGCTGGTTGCGGTACATGGACGCCATCTGAAACTCGTCCATCCCACGCATCGTTGTTCCCGACGTCGTCGCACTCGCTCCGCTACCGCCCGACACAGATGGTCCGCTCGGCGCCAGGCCACGCTCCTTGTCGCTCCCGACGCCGCTATCGCCATTTTCCGTTGCCGTTGCGGCCATGATGGGCAGCGGGGGAGCAGGGGAGGGGGGGGGGGGGGGGATAGAGAGGAGAGAGAAGGGGTGAAGGGGAAGGGGGAGGGGGAGGGGGAAAGGCTGTGGTGGTGGGCGGTGTGGGTGGTGTGGGTGGTGTGGTGTGGTGGGTGGGTGGAGTGGTGGATGTGAAGGGAGTGGGTGGAGTGGGCGGTGCGGGTTGGGTGGTCGGCCAGGGGCCAGGGGGTTGGGGGTGGGGGGTGGGGTAGTAAAAATTTTACAGGTGTCGGTGAACTGAAAGTCGCGTTTGGAAGCGCGGGACGGATGGGCGCGACCTGTCAGTGGGCGAGGAACGGAAGGCGAAGCGAGGCGAGGCGAGGCGAGGCGGGGAGGTGGGAGGCGGAGGCAGACGCGACTCGCACGCACACGGGACGGGAAGCAAGGACAGGATGGAGACTACTATGGTGTGCCTGGACAACTCGGAGTGGATGCGCAATGGCGACTTTGTGCCGACGCGGCTGGTGGCGCAGCGGGAGGCGGCGTACGACGCTGGAAAGGCCAAGCTCATGGCGCACCCGGAGAACCTTGTGGGCATCATCTCCATGGCCGGGTCGTCTGCACGGGTGGTGACCAACCTGACCAACGACGAGGGCCTGCTGTACACCTCGCTTCTCAAGGTGACGCCCGCGGGGACGGCCGACTTTGTCGCCGCCCTCCAGGTCGCCCAGCTCGCCCTCAAGCACCGGCCCAACCCCATCCAGCGCCAGCGCATCCTGCTGTTTGTTGGCTCGCCCGTAGTGGCCGAGACGCCCGTCCTCGTCAAGCTCGCCAAGCAGCTGAAGAAGAACAAGGTCTCTGTCGACGTCGTCAACTTTGGCGAGACTGAGGCCAACGTGGAGAAGCTGGAGGCCTTTATCGCCGCCGTCAACTCGGGTGAGTCGTCGAACTTGCTCAACGTGGCTGCCGGCGAGACGCGCAACCTGCGCGACATCCTCTTTTCGTCCGCCATCATGGGCGGCATTGGCGCTGGCGCCGTCTCGGGTGGCATGGATGACGACGTTGCCCGCGCCATCGCGCTCTCGCTGCAGGAGGCGCAGAGCTCGGCAGGCGCCGCCACTGGTGCCGGCGACGCCGCTGCTGCCGCGCCTGTTGCTATGGACGACGACATCTCGTTCCTCACCGAGGAAGAGCAGATCGAGCGCGCCCTCGCCATGTCGCTCGCTGACTCGGCACCGCCGCCGGCCGCCGACGAGCCGGCGCCCATGGACACTGCCCCTGCCGACGAGCCAGCACCCGCCGACAACAACCCCACCGCTGTCGCCGACGCTCTCGACGACCCGGACCTGCTGGCCACCCTTGCCGGCCTGCCCGGCCTTGACGCCGAGACGCTGGCCTCCATCCGCGGCGCCATGCAGGACGACCCGAACGACAACAGCGGGAACGACGGGGGCGATGGGAACGGTGGGAACGACAACTAGGGTGGAAGCCAGTAGGGGGGCACGTAAAGACTGCTGAGGTGAGCTAGACGGAAGATCGATGCCTGCGTTCACAGTGTGGTTGATCAGAGCGATCTTGCAGGCCGAAAAATCGGGTGATGCTTACTATGGCACCGTCTTTGGTTTGTGGTGGGCACACTCCCTTCAAGACGTACTGCTGACGACTGCCATCGGTGTGGAAGGGGTGTCTAACAAGATCGTTACGCGGTACTGCGATGCAGCTGGATGTGGATTGGGTGTGTGTTGTGTGATAGAAGATCAGATGGAGCAAAAAAGGTGGAGGGAATGCTCTGATGGATCAATGTGTGCTCTGCTTGTGCTGTAGCCGGCATCGGGGAGAGTGCAAGAGTGTGGGAGCAGACGGCTGGATAGAGGAAGTTATGATGCATGCAAGATCGAGGGTAGTACGTGTATGATATGCCGTGTGCAGGCATGGTTTCGGCTTCCTAGATGGCTGGGGCTGACCTCCTTCCTGGCCCATTCACGATTTTGGCGCCAGCTTTCGCGCCTTTTCCTTCGGCGATGTGAGCGAACACACCAGCCGAGTCGTCGCGACATGGCGTGTGGCAGAGGTGCGACCACCACACGCGGCAGACGCAAGCAGAGAACGGCACGAGAAGGGCGTGGAATTGGTGTGTAGCATGGAGGAAGTGTGGGAAGAAGCTTACAACCGTGCGGCAGGCGCCGGGGCCGAGGGCGGCAGCGGCGAGCTGAGCCTGGCCCACCTCCCGCTCGGCTACCTCCCGCCTGCGGTGCTGCAGCTGGACTACTTGCGGGCGCTGGACGTGTCTGGAACCAAGGTGCAGGAGCTGCCTGGCGAGGCACTGCTGGCGGTGGATGGGCCGCCGCTGGAGACGCTCGTGGCCACCGGCAACGCTCTCGACGCGCTGCCTGATGGCGACGCCTCCGAGTGGGCTGCCGTCTTTGACCGTGGCCTTTCCAAGCTTGAGCTGGCGGCAAACGCGCTGCGCGTCCTTCCGCACGGCCTTGTTGCTGCCATGCAGGATGCGCGCGCACCAGCCGGTCTTCGCGAGCTCAATCTTGCCATCAACTGCTTTGCGGACTTTCCGCTCGCTAATGCCACGCGCACCGCGCCGTTTTCATCGCTCGTCAAGCTCGATGTCTCACACAACCCTCTGACTGATCTTGGACCGGCACTGAGTCTGCTGCCGGCACTGGAGCGGCTCGACGCTTCGCACTGTGCGCTCACCACGCTCTCACCACACATCGGCGCATGCGCCTCGCTCCGAGTCCTCTTGCTGGCGTTCAACAAGCTGGGGCGGCTACCTGCGGAGATCGGCGCGCTCACTGCGCTCGACACCCTCGATGTGGCAGCCAACAAGCTGGCACAGTTGCCACCGCAGCTGGCGCTCTGCGGCGCCTCGCTCCGTGTCCTGGATCTGCGGTCGAATGCGTTCTCACAACCTCAGCCACTGGTCATGCGCCCGCTGGCAGCCTCGCTCGTGCGGCTCCTCGTCCACGGCAACCACGCCGAGTTTGACGACCCTGCAGCTTGGCGAGACATCCTTCCTGATGGTGTGGTTGTTGGAGGAGAGCCGCTTCCACCAACGCGCCACAACATTGTCTCGCGAGGCTTCGATGCCGACGGCGATGCTGTCGATGCCACGCTCCGCAGCCTCGCCCACTCGCTGCGGACCGAGACCGCGCGTTCGGCGGGTGCCACGACTGTCATCGAAATGCTCCAATCGGAGATGATTGACGCGCTCCAAAACCAGGTCAAGGAGCTGAGCACTGCCCACCTCGCGGCATCGACTGAAATCCAAAGCCTTCGCGAGCGCCTTGCCGCGCACGAGGGCTACGACGCTGGAGCATCTGCCAGCCTCTCTCGTATCGAGCTTGCGGCGTCGCATAGCAGTGCGCACGCGCAGGGCGCAGCCCGGCGTGTTGACGAGCTGACTTCCGAGATTGACCAGTTTGCTGCCATCAACCGGCAGCTCGAGGCACGGGTCCGGGAGCTCGAGGCAGAGCTGCAGAGCGCTGATAGCGTACACCGCAGCGAGGCCGCGAGCCGGCGCCGATTTCAGGAGCTGTCACTCGAGCGCGATGAGCTTGCTGCCGACAAGCTGCGGCTCAAGACACAAGTCCGGGAGCTCGAGGCGCAGCTGGGGGACGTGCTGGAGGGTCTTGGTGGAGAACGCGACTCGTACGCTGCAATCAACTCGCAGCTGTCGGCGCAAGTCCGCATGCTCGAGACCAAGCTGAAGGAGGCAAGTTGGGCGAGTGCCAGCGCCAGCAATTCACAAGTTGAGTTGGCCAGGCTTCGGGCTGACCGGGATGCTGCCCTCCTCGAGGCCGGCGAGGCACGCGCAGCGACAGCAGAGATGGTCGTGGAGTTGGGCCAGCTCCATACCGATGTGGTGAATCAGGAGAAGGCGTTTGAAGCCAAACAAGCTGAGCTCACTACTGTGGCGGATGACCTCATAGTTGCGCTGGACGTGGCGCGGGAGGAAGCTCGAAAAGCAGCGACATCTGCTGAGGTTGCCCGGGCTGAGGCCGCCGAGTTCCGAAGCCGCAACGCCGAGCTGGAGGTAGCGCTGGCAGACATGCTCAATCTCATGAGCGAGGTCAACGAGGCGGAGGCCGGCGCGAGTGGAACGATTGCGTCTCTCGCGCACACTGCCGACGAGCCAGTGATAGAAACCGAGGCCGAAGCCTTTGTGCGTGAGCACGATCGCGTGTCTCTCCTCATCGAACAGGACAACCAGATCGTGCACAGGCTCGCTGAGTCCAAGCTCACGCCACCGACCTTTGATGGTGCAGTCTACCGTGAGTCAGCCGGCTCGGGCTTGGTCTCGCTAGCAGCGATCGAGGCTGCGGTCGAGCATGTCAAGACTTCGTACATGGTGCCGCTCAACAAGGCAACGCGCGCCAACCGCGGCCTGCGGGCCAAGTTGCAAGAGAGCAAGGTTCGGTGCTCAGAACTGGAGAGCGAGCTTGAGCAGACGCGCAAGCGACTTCAGACCATCCGGAAGCGCGCAGCTGCACGCAGCGACGCTCGGATGCGGGCAAAGAGTCGCGCACCGAGAGTAGACCCCGAGTCACATGCAGAGGGCGACGGCGTCGCTGAGCTGCGCGATGCAGAGGCACAAATCCGCGCTGCGCAGCGCGAGCGTGACAGCGATGCAGCGTCCCAGCTGGCTGCTGAGGTGGCTGTGGACGTCGCTGTGCTCGACGAGCTGCGTGCTGAGCGGAAAACGCATGTGCTTGCGGCGGCTTCGCTACGTTTGCGACTGGACGACTTGGAGCATCAAGTTCGCGAGGTGATGAACGAGAGTCTGCCAGAGGATGCAAAGTGGACGGCGGATCCGTCGCTCCCTGCGCTGGAGCAGCTTGGCGCGTTCGGGATGGCTGTCCGCGAGGAGCTGCATGCCAACGATGAGCTTGTACTTCGACTTCAAGAGACGATTTCCGAGCTCCTCGCTCACCAGACCGAGCTTGAGGACACGGTGGCAGGTGCTGCGACTCTTCTTGAGCTTCCCGACTCACGCCCGTCGGCAGTTCTCGACGGGGTGGCGTTGCTGCAGCAGGAGGCGGCAGAGCTTGGGGCCCGAGTGGCCACGCTCGAGTACCTCAACGTCTCGCTCGACGCATCTGGTGCGGACGAGCTCTCAGGCGAGCTTATTGCTCAAAACGAGACACTACTCGAGCAGCTTCAGGGAGCACGCCAGCAGCACGCCGCTGAGGTGGCTGCACTCCAGGAGGTGATCGAGGAGAAAGAGCTGAAGCTCCAGGCACTGTCGCGCACGTCAGATGCCCCGGATGTGGCAAAGCTCAAGCGAATCAAGGACCTCGAGTCTCAGGTGGATCAGTCTGAGCGGATGTGCGACGGATTGCGAGCCGAGCTTGCGCAAATGCAAGAGAGTATGCCAAGTGCGGTCGTCGCGGCGTTGCAGGATCGGGCAGTTGGCCTGGAGGCCGAGGTAGCAGAGATGGAGCGGATGTGCAACCGGCTGCGGGCCGAGCTCGCGGAAGAGCGAGCTAACAAGGCGAAGCAAGAACACGGTAGAGGGGCATCCCAGACATTTGTCACCGAACAAGAGTTGCGGGCCGCAGTTATGGAGCTTCCGGACATTGGCCGCCACCGTCCAAAGCGGGCTCGAGTTATGCATGCGCCGAAGACGGCATTGTTCAATGCTGCAAGTGAGTTTGATGACGAGTTGAACCGACCGCGAGCGGACGAGCAGATGGAGGCTGAGCTGGCAGAGGCGCGGGCTGCCAATAGGCGGCTCAGGTGAGGATCGCGGAGCTCGAGGACGAGCTCAACCGGCCGCGGGCTGCCAATGAGGCGGCTCAGGTGAGGATTGCGGAGCTCGAGGACGAGCTCAACCGGCCGCGGGCGGACGAGCAGATGGAAGCTGAGCTGGCAGAGGTGCGGGCTGCCAATGAGGCGGCTCAGGTGAGGATTGCGGAGCTCGAGGACGAGCTCAACCGGCCGCGGGCGGACGAGCAGATGGAGGCTGAGCTGGCAGAGGCGCGGGCTGCCAATAAGGCGGCTCAGGTGAGGATCGCGGAGCTCGAGGACGAGCTCAACCGGCCGCGGGCGGACGAGCAGATGGAGGCTGAGCTGGCAGAGGCGCGGGCTGCCAATGAGGCGGCTCAGGTGAGGATCGCGGAGCTCGAGGACGAGCTCAACCGGCCGCGGGCGGACGAGCAGATGGAAGCTGAGCTGGCAGAGGCGCGGGCTGCCAATGAGGCGGCTCAGGTGAGGATTGCGGAGCTTGAGACCGAGCTCAACCGGCCGCGGGCGGACGAGCAGATGGAAGCTGAGCTGGCAGAGGCGCGGGCTGCCAATAAGGCGGCTCAGGTGAGGATCGCGGAGCTCGAGGACGAGCTCAACCGGCCGCGGGCGGACGAGCAGATGGAAGCTGAGCTGGCAGAGGCGCGGGCTGCCAATGAGGCGGCTCAGGTGAGGATTGCGGGGCTTGAGACCGAGCTCAACCGGCCGCGGGCGGACGAGCAGATGGAAGCTGAGCTGGCAGAGGCGCGGGCTGCCAATAAGGCGGCTCAGGTGAGGATTGCGGGGCTTGAGACCGAGCTGCAGCAAGCCCAAGCCAGCAACGAGGCTGATCCTGAACTCGCGGCGGCCCAGGCGCGGATTGCCGAACTCGAGACCGAGCTGGAGCAAGCTCAAGCCAGCAACGAGGCCGATACTGAAGTCGCGGCGGCCCAGGCACGGATTGCCGAACTCGAGACCGAGCTGGAAGCTCAAGCCAGCAACGAGGCTGATGCTGAACTCGCAGCGGCGCAGGCACGGATTGCCGAACTCGAGACCGAGCTGCAGCAGGCCCAAGCCAGCGACAAGGCCGATGATGAAATCGCGGCGGCCCAGGCACGGATTATCGAACTCGAGACCGAGCTGGAACAGACGTCCGAAGTGGCCAGCAAGCTGCAGCTGCGCCTGAAGATGCAGGACACGCTCAACGAGTCGATGGATGACGTAGCCGAGCTGCATGAGGCCGAGATGGTCGAACTGCAATCGCGGATCACCGAACTCGAGATCGAGCTGGAACAAGCGCAGACCAGCGACGAGGCCGATGCTGAACTCGCGGCGGCGCAGGTGCGGATTACCGAACTCGAGACCGAGCTGCAGCAGGCCCAAGCCAGCGACGAGGCCGATGCTGAACTCGCGGCGGCGCAGGTGCGGATTACCGAACTCGAGACCGAGCTGCAGCAAGCTCAAGCCAGCAACGAGGCCGATACTGAAGTCGCGGCGGCCCAGGCGCGGATTGCCGAACTCGAGAGCAAGCTGGAGCAAGCCCAGAACAGCGACGAGGCTGATGCTGAAGTCGCAGTGGCCCAGGCACGGATTATCGAACTCGAGACCGAGCTGGAACAGACGTCCGAAGTGGCCAGCAAGCTGCAGCTGCGTCTGAAGATGCAGGACACGCTCAACGAGTCGATGGATGACGTAGCCGAGCTGCATGAGGCCGAGATGGTCGAGCTACGGGCGCAGATCGCCGAGCTTGAGACCGAGCTGCAGCAGGCCCAAGCCAGCGACAAGGCCGATGCTGAACTCGCGGCGGCCCAGGCACGGATTGCCGAACTTGAGACCGAGCTGCAGCAAGCTCAAGCCAGCAACGAGGCCGATACTGAAGTCGCGGCGGCCCAGGCGCGGATTGCCGAACTCGAGACCGAGCTGCAACAAGCGCAGATGAACGACGAGGCGGATGCTGAAGTCGCGGCGGCCCAGGCACGGATTGCCGAACTCGAGATTGAGCTGCAGCAAGCTCAAGCCAGCAACGAGGCTGATGCTGATCTCGCGGCGGCCCAGGCGCGGAGTACCGAACTCGAGAGCAAGCTGCAGCTGCATGAGACCGAAATCGCGGCGGCGCAGGCGCGGATCACCGAACTCGAGACCGAGCTCGAGCAGACGTCCGAAGTGGCCAGCAAGCTGCAGCTGCGTCTGAAGATGCAGGACACACTCAACGAGTCGATGGATGACGTAGCCGAGCTGCATGAGGCCGAGATGGTCGAGCTGCAATCGCGGATCACCGAACTCGAGACCGAGCTGCAACAAGCGCAGATGAACGACGAGGCCGATACTGAAGTTGCGGCGGCCCAGGCACGGATTGCCGAACTCGAGACCGAGCTGGAGCAAGCTCAAGCGGCCAGCAAGCTGCAGCTGCGCCTGAAGATGCAGGGCACGCTCAACGAGTCGATGGATGACGTATCCGAGCTGCATGAGGCCGAGATGGTCGAGCTACGGGCGCGGATCACCGAACTCGAGACCGAGCTGGAGCAGGCCCAAGCCAGCGACGAGGCCGATACTGAAGTCGCGGCGGCCCAGGCACGGATTGCCGAACTCGAGATCGAGCTGGAACAAGCGCAGACCAGCGACGAGGCGGATGCTGAACTCGCGGCGGCGCAGGCGCGGATCACCGAGCTCGAGACTGAGCTGCAACAAGCGCAGATGAACAACGAGGCTGATACTGAAGTCGCGGCGGCCCAGGCACGGATTGCCGAACTCGAGACCGAGCTGGAGCAAGCTCAAGCCAGCAACGAGGCCGATACTGAAGTTGCGGCGGCCCAGGCGCGGATAACCGAGCTCGAGACTGAGCTGCAACAAGCGCAGATGAACGACGAGGCGGATGCTGAACTCGCGGCGGCGCAGGCGCGGATCACCGAACTCGAGACCGAGCTGGAACAGACGTCCGAAGTGGCCAGCAAGCTGCAGCTGCGCCTGAAAATGCAGGACACGCTCAACGAGTCGATGGATGACGTAGCCGAGCTGCATGAGGCCGAGATGGTCGAGCTACGGGCGCAGATCGCCGAGCTTGAGACCGAGCTGCAGCAGGCCCAAGCCAGCGACAAGGCCGATGCTGAACTCGCAGTGGCGCAGGCGCGGATTACCGAGCTCGAGACCGAGCTGCAGCAGACGTCCGAAGTGGCAAGCAAGCTGCAGCTGCGTCTGAAGATGCAGGACACACTCAACGAGTCGATCGATGGCGCGACTGAGTTGCAGGAGGCCGCGCTCGCCGAGCTGCAAGCCCAGCTGACAAAAGCCAGGCTTGAGCTCGAGCGCGAGCGCGCGGGCACGCAGACTTCAAGCCCTGATGATCAGTTGCAACTCCACGAGCAGGTTATGTCTCTCACCGCAGAGGTCAGTACACTCCACTCTGCTCTCGATGCTGCTACTGCCCAAATCCACTCCATGTCGACAGCGATTGACTCGTCCGACCTCACCACTCTCCGAGCCGAGCGCGACATCCTTCAGGCTGAGCTGGAGACTGCCACCCGCCGCATCCTTCTTGTTGCTGACCGCATTGCCCTGGTGCGCGGCTGCGATGGAGATGTCCTTTGGCGCGATGCCGCTGCCGGTACGCTAGAGCGCGTGCTCGGTGGCCTTGCGCTTGTCGCTCGGAGGATGGACGACGAGACGGATCGCCTTTGCGACGCTTGTTCCACTCACCGCATTGCCATGGACGAGATGCCCCCTCCTCACTCACATCTTGGCCGCCTAGCGCGGCTAGACGCTCTTGCAGACTGTCCTTGCTCGACGGGTGAGTCTGACCATGGTCTGGTGCTCTCCGCCACGAATGCCGAACTCAACGCCGTCCGACATGAGCTTGAGGCTGTACAGGTCGAGCGCAATCGTGCGCTGCGCAGGGCGGACGAGGTCGCTGCACAACTTCGGCGCTACCTGGCAGCTCACTCACCCCCCCTGCTGCGGCGAGCAGCGCCGCTGTGGATCTCGAAGCCAACGGCGCAGTTCTTCTCCAGATTGTCGCTGCTCTCATTAACGCGGGCCTCATCAGTGTCACGGCTGTTCCATTAGCGCTCTTAAGCACGCCTGCAGGTCAGGCGCGCGCCTTTGCCGCTGTCCACGATGCTGTCTTTGCTCTGGTGACCATAGCGGGAGTTGGCCGACTTGGCCGACTTGGCCGGCGGGCGTCGTGACGATGCCGCGTCGAGTGATGTCACAGTCCTTCGGGCGCGCCAGCACTCTCATTTGGCAGCCATTCGAGACCGTCTCAATGAGCACGTCGCTGCCGTCGAGCTCTCAGACCTTGTCTCCATGATTTCAGAAGTTTCGGTCCTCGTAGGCGAAGCTGCCGAGCTGGAGGACTCCCAAGCTGAGCTGCTACAAGCGAACCAGTCTGCGGCCCAGGCGACGCTAATTGAGCGAAACCGTGGCCTGCGCGAGAGCCTGGCCCAGTACGTTGCCAACGAGCGTGTACTCCGTGACACTATCCGCGACCTGGAGACAGAGCGGGACCAGTTGCTTGCGTCGTCGATCGAAGGCGCCGTTCGTGCGTCGACCCCAGGCTCACCAGTGGCGCCAGCCTCGCGCTCAAACTCAGAGGCCAACGCCTCTCTGGACTCGTCGGCTGTCATCATCGCATCACTCAAGTTTGAGCTCGAGACTGTCAAGGAGTATGCTCGCCAGCGCGATGCTCTCCATTTGGATCGTACTGCAGAGCTTTCACAGACTATTGAGAGCATCCACGGATCACAGGACCGAGGCGCGTCCACCATTTCGGCGAATGAGCAGGTCCGCGAGCTCACAGCGCAGCTGGCAGCGGTGGAGCTGGAGCTGGCTGACCTCCGCGCTGCCCATGAGCAGCTACGTACACTGCTCCTCAACCGGGTTCCGACCCCCGGACCCGACGACGAGGCTCGCCTTCCTGCATATGTCCGCGACCTTCTTGTTTTGCTTGGGCGGATGCGCGCGATGCTGCTGGCTGCTCGTGAGACGCCCACTCTTTCGGACGATGCTGTAGCCGAGATCTGTGATGCCTCTCTTGTTCACGAGAACTACGTGCTACACCTCTCAACCACGAGACTTGAGCACGCACTTGCCCATCTCGCCGTGGTGGCACGCTCGATTGCGCACGGCCGAGACGTGCCGGTGGCATGGCAAGACCACGCTCTCGATGCGCTTGTCACCCTCGCACGATCGCTCGGTCCAAACCATCCGGCCACTTCCGTCGCGCTGTACGTTCGCCTCACCCGGCTCATGCAGGATGCTCTCACACCACTGGCCGCGGAGCTGTCGACTGCACTACAGAACGGAGACGCTCGGAGCGATGCATCTGAGCTGGCAAGCTCGCTCCTCAACGAGTGGCGAGTTGCGCTTGCCACCTATGCTGATGCTGCGCATACCTTGCGACCAAGCATTGCCGGCGCGAGGCGGTCTATGGCTTCTGACGTCGAGACCGGGCGCACGCTAGAGATTGTCAAGGGCGAACTTGTGTGCATTCGCAGGGCGCTTGAGGCCCCGTCAGTCGCTAGCGCCGCGCACCACCTACCGGAGATGGGCTCGGCGTTTGAAGCCGTCGCTCGCCTCGAGTCGCGTCTCCGCGGCCTCGCCCCACAGGTTGCACACGCATCTGCGTCGGCACGAGTTCTTCGCTCGCCGCCGCGCAGGCCGCCAGGATCGACGTCGATGCGCTCCGCCTTTGTTGTGCCCGGAGGTATCATGCTGGGGTCAACACCGGCTCTCACGCCGGTGGTCGCTCGTGAGCCGACGTCACCGGGTCTCTTCTCGCCAGACTCACAGCTTCCACAGGAGCTCTTTGCCGACGAACCCGTCTCCGAGTGAATACATTGGGTTTAGTGGAAGCCAATGCGGGCGCCGGTGTGCTTGGTGCACATCGGCGGCGGATCGAAGAGCGCTGGGTTGGGCGGGAGCTCTGAAGTAAAGTCAAAGATGTGCATCTCTGAGACGATGACACCCTTTTTGACGTCGAGTGTCTGGGTACCGATAAGGTACGGGTCGAGGGACGACGAGACATACGCGTACGAGACGTACGTCGTGTTGGAGGTGGCCAGCTTCCACTGGTAGGCCTTGATGCCGCGGAAAAGCTCTTCGGCCTCGAGCGTGGCCTTGTCAAAATATGTCGGGTTGATGATGTACGTGACAGTGGGCAATGCAGTCTTTGTGCATGTCGGATCGCTGTTCTTGGGCGACGACGTGAGCTGCAGCATGTGCTCGACATACGGCTGGGAGGACATGGATCGGTACGCCACCTGGGTCTCTCCGATCATTGACGTTGAGTCGATCCGCTGAAGTCCACGGGTCATATCGACATTGGCCGCGCCGACATAGGTCGTGGCCGAGACCTGGTTGTTGCCTGCCAGCCGTGCAAACGAGAACGAGTACGTCTCCGGAATGACTGGAGGCTTCGGCGGGGCGATTGGGCACGCCACTGCAGACGCCCCCACAAATGTCGCCACACACTTGGCCAGACCGAGCAGCTTGAGCACCGGCGTGCCTGAGGCAGCCTCATCGCAGGTCAGCTCGATCACAGACTGCCAGTCCGACCCACACGTAGTCGAGTGCGCGCCACCAGAAGCCGTGAACCGGACACCCTGGCCCTGGGCCAACGGCGCTACCACAAGCTCACGGGCCGAGCCCAGCGGCTTGCATCCGCCTGCCCACGACTGGCACACGGCGGTGTTGGGCGCCTGCTGCGCACACGGCGAGGTATGCAGTGGGCCGCACACGTTGACCGTGTAAATCGTATCACCAGATGCCACCAGAACGTCATTCCTATCCCCCACAACACAGGACCACAAACAGGGTGAGTGGAGTGTGCTCTATCCAGACCAAGCCTTTCATCGCACAGCCGAGCACCCACAATGACCACGATCATCATGATCGAAACCACGATGACCAACCAGCACCAGCAGGGAGAGCACCAGCAGGGAGAGCACCAGCAGGGAGAGCACCAGCAGGGAGAGCACCAGCAGGGAGAGCACCAGCAGGGAGAGCACCAGCAGGGAGAGCACCAGCAGGGAGAGCACCAGCAGGGAGAGCACCAGCAGGGAGAGCACCAGCAGGGAGAGCACCAGCAGGGAGAGCACCAGCAGGGAGAGCACCAGCAGGGAGAGCACCAGCAGGGAGAGCACCAGCAGGGAGAGCACCAGCAGGGAGAGCACCAGCAGGGAGAGCACCAGCAGGGAGAGCACCAGCAGGGAGAGCACCAGCAGGGAGAGCACCAGCAGGGAGAGCACCAGCAGGGAGAGCACCAGCAGGGAGAGCACCAGCAGGGAGAGCACCAGCAGGGAGAGCACCAGCAGGGAGAGCACCAGCAAGGAGAGCACCAGCATTAAGAGCACCAGCAGGGAGAGCACCAGCAAGGAGA